CAGGAACCTCAAACTCCTGGGCTCAAGTGATTCTCTTGCCTCATTTTCCCAAGTAGTTGGGACCACAGGTACCCACCATAACACCTGGCCATTCTTTTGTTGCAGTTGACATTGTTGTTTAGCTGGCCCGAGCCAGGTTCAAACCTGCCACCCTTGGTGTATGTGGCTGGTGCTGTAACCACTGTACTACGAGTGCTGAGCCAATGGCAGTAATATTTAAATAGGAAAAAAATTATCAACCACTTGTAGAATGATTTCTAAGTCAGTGTTTCTCAAAGTGGGGTCTAAGGACATAAGATCACCTGGGATGCTTGTAATAATGCATTGGATCCAGGGTCTTTCTTGGAACCCAATAAACCAGAATCTGTGGGCAGCACCTGTAGCTCCAGGAGTAGGGTGCCAGTCCTATATACCAGGGTGGCGGGTTTAAGCCTGGCCCCGGCCAAAACTGCAAAGAAAAGAAAAACAGACTCTGTGAAGGGATCCTAGGAAAGGTCATTTTGTCTAGCAGATGATTTGTTCCTGTTCTGAAGTTTGGGAGCCACTGAGCAAACCACAGGCCAGGAGAACATTTGGAGTACTAGAGAGAGTTCCAAGTAGCAAACCTTTGCAGGCGTAGACATGGCAACAGGGGATGATGATAACTACAGCGAGAACACCAACCCTCCCGGCAGAGGCTCAGTGCGTTTTCTGTTGCTTATTAACAGAATATCTGAAACAGGGTAAGGCAATTCATTTCCCACAGTTACAGAGGCTGAGTGGTCCAAGGCCGGCTGAGGCACTCCTTGCTGGTGGAGACTCTCTGCAGTGTGGGGGCTGAGCTTGCTAAGATGCTCGTGCGTCTTTCTTCTTCCTTTTCTTACAAAGCCACCATTTTTACCCCCAGGAGAATCCGTTAATCCCTTAACCCATTAATCCATTAACCTATGAACGGACAAATCCATTCACTCTGGATCCGATCACCTCTTAAAGGCTCCACCTCTCAATACTGCCACATTGAGGAATGAGTCTCAACTGGAGTTTCAGTGGGAACGTTCAAACCATAGCAGGGGGCAGTGATCCCATAATAAGATGCCCACAGGGCAGCAGCCACAACAGGATATAGTGACTATATAGTGACTAAAGTCACTGGCTGTTCTTAACGTTGTTCTTTGTTCTATAAATTGTTTATAACATTCATTAGGACCATAGTTTTCATTCATTTGTCAGCCTCCCAGGAAGGTCATTGGAAGAGTTAACCAAACGTACAAAGAAGGTCCAGGCATCTCCACTCAAGCCATTCCTGCCTGGCTGTTCCCCACCTCGGACCCTCAGTTCCGGCGACTAACAGGCCCCGTCTGCCTTGGATTCTGTCCAAGTCCTGGCATCCCATAAGCATCTTCCCACTGCTGTGTCCTTGCCACTGGCTGGGAGTGTAGTCCTCTCAGTAGGACAGTTGACTGACCACACATTTTTGTGCACCAAATAAGGGAGTGGGGGAGAGCTTAGCAGGCAGCTTCCTAGAGACTGGAGACTGTTGCATATTTCCTTTTCAGGATGGAGAGGGGAGACAGGTCTGATGGGATGTGCTGGGCTTCTCAGGCTCCCAGTGGGCTGACATCTCTGAGGGCTGATCCCAGAGGCACAGAGTTGCCACCATCGCTCCTTCCCACAGCAGCCTCTTTCCTGGAATGGGCAGAGCCATTCTTGCCAGGAGCCGTGGGGTTTCTTGCCAGGATCTGTGTGTGTCACTACTATCCAGCCAAGGTTGACCAACCTCCCCTAAGAAGGCCAGGCAAACACTCAGGATCTCAGGCCAGTAGGTGTCTGTGTGGAAGGGGAGAGTCCTCTCTACCACAGAGTAGCTGGGGGTATTGGGGTAGCCAGGCTGAGCCCAGAAACATACCCAAGTTTCCTTTCTTGCCACTCTGGGGCCCTAAGGGAGACTACACACTCCTTTCTAGCCTGCTTGTCTATTCCTGGCCCTAAAATATCAGCTGTCACCCCTTCCTGCTGTCACACAGCTGACCCCAGTAGGTGGTACCCAGTCTTCAGCAGCCTTGCATGGTCCAGAAGAGGGAGCCCCTTTTCCAAGAAGGGAGACCAGGCTCAGCAGAGTTCCTATAGGACATCACAGTGGGTGTTTGGAAATCGTCACTCTGCTCCCGGCCTCCATCCAGCCCTCCATAATCTCACTGCTACCTTCAGCCCATTCACAGGCCCTCCCATGGGGTCAGAAGAGACCCCAGAGAGTAGACGCAATGCTCTCCCAGGTCTCTGTGCAGTGATCTGGCCTCTGGAGGGAGGGAGAGCAGAGGAGGGAAAGGGCAGAGAAGATAACTGGCAGAGGTTATGACTTGCAATAGTAAACCTTTGATCTTTCATTCCAAGGTTTTTTTTTCTTTTGCCTAGGCTAGAATGCCATGGCATCAGCCTAGCTCACAGCAACCTCAAACTCCTGAGTTCAAGCGACCTTCCTTCCTCAGCCTCTTGGAATAGCTGGAACTTAAGGCACCCACCACAGTGCCCAGATAGTTTTTGTATTTTCAGTAGAGAAAGGGCCTCACTTTTGCTCAGGCAGGTCTCAAACTTTTGAGCTCAAGCAGTTCTCCTGCTTTGGTCTCCCACAGTGCTAGGATTATAGGCATGAGCCACCTCAAAGTATTTTTTGAGTGCCTGTTATGTGGCAAACACTGTGCTAGGAAACTACTGTGGGGATGAAGGGAAAATTTTTCCTTCAGGCTCTGAAGTTTTGCTGAAAAATCAACCCACAGGCTCGTTGCCTGTGGCTCAAGTGGCTAAGGCGCCAGCCACATACACCTGAGCTGGCGGGTTTGAATCTAGCCCAGGCCTGCCAAACAGCAATGACAGCTGCAACCACAAAATAGCTGGGTGTTGTGGCGGCCACCTGTAATCCCAGCTACTTGGGAGGCAGAGACAGGAGACTCGCTTGAGCCCAGGAGTTGGAGGTTGCTGTGAGCTGTGATGCCATGGCACTCTACCCAGGGTGACAGCTTAAGGCTGTGCCTCAAAAAAAAAAGAAAAAGAAAAAGAAAAAGAAAAATCAACCCACAAAAAACAGATTAATTGGAGAAAAAGCATACAAATGTATTATTGTGCACATGGGGAGAGTCACGGAGTGTTACCCCATATCCCACTGGGGTACAGATGCTTCTATACCACACTCTCAGGGGAAGAGAGAGGTGATGTGTGGATGACTTTAGGGGGATTCAATGGGCTTGAAGAACATACAATGGCCTGGGACAAAGTCATTTGGGCACACAGAATGGACAGTGTTTGTGCAAAAGTCTGTCCAGGTTTGTTGACAGATGTCAGTCTTATTGTGATACAAGTTCAATTAATGAAAATTCAGGGAAGGAACTGGAGATCACTGTTTTCTTTTTTTGACAGGTGCAGACTTTAGCAAATAAGGAACTTAAGAAAACAAGTTCATCCTTTCTTTGCTCTGGGTGACGCAGAGCTGAGATGCAGGAGCTGGGGGAGAAGGACAGAGAGACATCACAGCTGCGGCTTTAGTTCAGAATGTCAAAGCCTGTATTTTCGGGGTATCCGTTTCTGACCCTCAACACTGCAACCATGACTAGAGAGACATGACCCTGCCCTCATGAAAGTTACAGTCCAGTGGAAGAGGCAAAGTCTTGAGGCGACATAATTAAATTGTAATGATGTGCTTTATTTAGAAGGAAATTTCAAGTGCATCGGGGCTGGGGTTCAGTGAGTGAGGGGCAAAGTCCTGTGGCATGAGGTGGTGTGGGGGGTGGGCAGGGGCCAGATTAAGCCAGGCCAGTTAAGAGATTTCAAGTTTTGTCTGAGACTAATAGGAAATCACTGGAGGGTTTTAAGTGACAATCTGATTTAAATGTTCAAGTATCACTGTGGTTGCAGGTCAGAATAGTCTGGAGGGGCAAATGTGGACCAGAAGGGAGAATGTAGGAGCCCCTTCAGTATCCAGTGAGTGAGGATGCTGGCTGGGACTCACTAGTGGAGTGCAGAGAGAGAGAGAGAGAGAGAGAGAAGTTGGGGGATTTGCCATGTATTTGGGAGTTGTGTCTAGATGACTTCCTTAGCCAGGCATTGTGGTGGGCACCTGTAGTCTCAGCTACTGGGGAGGCTGAGGCAAGAGGATGGTTTGAGCCCAGGAGTTTGAGGTTGCTGTGAGCTATGACACCACAGCATGCTACTCAGTCTCACTCTGTTCCCCCCCCCCCCAAAAAAAGAGGACTTCCTGATGGGCTAGAGAAAAGAAGAGGGAGGAATCAAGACTGGATCACACATTTCCAGTGTGAAGAACCACAGTGGAGAAGCCTGGTGGGAGGGAGGGAGCAGAAAACAGGAACAGGAATGGGTTTGCTGGTCATGAGGCTTGCCCTGCTTCCAGTCAAGAAAGTCATTATCTTAGGTTCCTTCCCTGTCAGCCTGTAAAACCTCATTTTCATATGTGGTTAATCTGTGGTTGAGCCCAGTGAGTCAGAAGTCAGGGCTAAGAGATAATAGAAAGGAACCAGTTCGCCATTTGGGGCCTTCGGTCCCCAGGCTCCAAGGACTCCCAGACATCAAGCCCCTCCCAAATATCTCACCAAGGCCTCTGTGAGCCACGTTGGCAACAGCTCCCAGGACAGGATGCTCTGGCCCTGAGATGTTTTGTCCCATCCCTAATCTCCTATAAGCCCTCCTCCTTTTCTCAAAATTGCCTTTTTCAGTGCCCTGCCCTGGGTCAGCTTCTAGACGGGGTGGTAACCAGCGGCTGGGACCAGAAACTGGGAAGTGGGGAGAATTTGACCGGACGCTGGTTTCAGCTCCCAGCTGGTGCAGGCTCCTTAGTACCCTGCTCTGGGAACTGTCTTTCTCACTGCAAAGTAATGGGACAAATCCTGCCTTTCTTTTCTTTTCAATTTTCTGAAAATTTTATTAGGCAATTTTTCAAACATACAGTACAGTTGAAAAAATTATACAGTGATCACCCAGACACCCACCGCATACATTTTATTATTTTCTTCTTCACATGTAGGGAATTTGTTCATAGGGAGGCCACAAGTTTTGTGTGCCCCTCATCATAATGACCTCAGATTCCTGTTGGGTGTGTTAAACATAGGAGCCATTCTTTAGGCCTCCTGCCCTGAGCACAAAATCCTGCCTTTCTTTTGGGAGTTAGGAGTAGGGACTTCAGAGTTAATTCAAATCGCAGCCAGTTATGTGACCTTGGGCCGGACACCTTGATAAACTGCAGTTATATCAACCGTGAGATGATAGAAATAATAAACACCTTTGCTACAGGACTTTTTTGAGGATTAAATGAGATTATGGAGGTGAAGTGCCTCATAATCCAGAGGTCAAGATAAATGCTAGTTAGTGCTACCATTGCCATTGAACACTTAAGGAGACCATCCCTAAGGAGGCAGGTGTTCCTAAAGCTAAGTGGGAAATTACAAGATCTGGGATAACGAGCCCTGGTCTACATCCCAAACTTTGAACACACACACACGGACTTCAGGGTGGCCTCTGCAGGGTTAGATGAGATGGAGTGTGTTCAGGGTGGTGTGGCTATAGACTGGCCCCTCAGAGTTAGGAAAGTCCAAGGCAGACTGGATATCATTTTGTGACTTCATCATTTTGTATCTGCCTCAGTGTCCTCATCTGTAAAATGGGAATAAAAATTGTGCCTAGCTCATAGAGTTGTTGTGAAATGTAAATTATTTAGCTTTTCAAGCACTAAATATGTAAGGTGTTGAGAAGAGTGTGTCAGGAATAGACTCTTGTTCACATTTCAGTAGTTGTAAATTTTCATCAGTACGTGTCCTCCAGGGGAAGCGTCTCTTTAGGGCATCGGTTCTCAACTGTCGCAACCCACAGGAACTGTATTAAAGGGTCACGGCATTAGGAAGGTTGAGAACCACTGCTTAGAGTAATAGACACTTCTCTTTACTGCAGAAGAGGAAAGGCTGAGTAGCACTGGGACAGTAACAGTTCACAGGCTGAAAATTTTGGGAAAAGGTGCAAGGTCAAAAGATTAATCCTACCATATTAGAGCTTGAAAATGAAGCTAGATATTCATGAAATTCAATCGTTTCTAAATTCCAGACATCAGATGTTGTCCCCAGTCTAGGGCAATTCAGGGGAACAATATGCACAACACAGTGGATTTTTCTTAAATCTAAATTTATTTTATTTTTCAGTTTCACAATTTTTTCCTTTATACTTTTGCCATTAAAATATCCTTTCTTTTATGAAATGTTGGTGGATAGTTTTTGGTGGTTATGATGACTAATGATGATTTAAACTGGTCTGTGAAATTCAAAATCTTTTTTTACCACGAGGAAACTGCGTCCAGAGAGGAGATGTGACTCAGTCAAGGTCAGGAGTCTGGTTCGTGACAGAATCAGTGCTAAAACCCAGATCTCCTGATTTTCCCTCTCTCTCTCTCCCTTCCTCCTTTCCTTCCTTCCTTCCTTTCTCTTTCAGAATCTAAGAACCAACAATAATGCTCCTTTCCATAGCTTGTTTAGGTCTGCAAGTGATTGAAACACAATTCAAACTGGCTTAAGCAAAAGGGAAATTCAAGAATTTCAACCAGGGTGGCACCCGTATAGCTCAGTGGTTAGGATGCCGGCCACATACAGATAGGCTGGCAGGTTCGAACTAACCAATGCAGGCCAGCTAAAATCAACAATGACAGCTGCAACAACAACAACAACAACAAAATAGCTGGGCGTTGTGGCAGGCACCTGTAGTCCTAGCTACTTGGGAGGCTGAGGCAAGAGAATCGCTTGAGCCCAAGAGTTTGAGGTTGCTGTGAGCTGTGATGCCACAGCACGCTACCCAGGGTGACATAGTAAAACTCTGCCTCAAAAAAAAAAGAATTTCAACCAGAAGAAGAAATTGATTTTTGGCAGGAGAAGACATTAGATGCTTATTAAACCCCTGAAAATAAACCCCATCAGATCCAAAGTCTCCCCTCTCTGGTTCAAAACCCATAACTAGACCCTGGGCTTTTCCTAATCTCCCACCATTATCACCACCACTATCACACACCCACACAGAATCCTCATTCTGAGCAGGGCCCTTAGGACCCATTTTTTGGCTCATTCCATACTGACTCAAGGCTTCTCTCAGGATGTATCAGCCAGGAATGTCTAACCAGCCCAATCCAACCAATCTCTCTTGTTCACTGGGGACAGAACATCCTTCCCAGCAAAGGTCATCAGAGCACACTGTCTCCAGCAGACTTCTAGTCATGATATATTAGCTGGGGGATTATGGGAAGCATCTGCATTTTCTTTACAGTGTTGGTGATGATCTGCACATACCCAAAGAACTAAAAATAAGTGGCAGGAGGTCTGACTTGTTTGAGGCTGGGTCAATGTTTATTTTCTTAAAGGTCAGACCTCCTTGATATGGGCATAAAGTTAGATCCAGGGACTGTGTCTGTGGCTTGAATATGCAGGTGGGTAGGACCTGCAAAGAGAGTCTCAGATGTGAAATTTCTGGCCTGCTCAACCTTGCCCCATGCTGGATCCCGGCTCAGGGATGGAAGACACTCCCTGCTTGCTCTGGTGCTGCCCTGATTCTATTTCACTCCTGGCATCAGTGCACTGAGCAAATGGGCTCCCTTCCCTGTACCGTACTTCCTCCATCTGGCAAATGGGCAGGAGGAAAAGAAGGCAAGGAAAGAAGGCAGAATATTTACCCCAAGTGTTATAGTGTCATTAGTTCCTGACAAAGAGCCCCAGAGCTCGCCTTTTCTGTAATCCACTTTTCTCCAAGAAGAGAACCAATATTCCAGGAGTATTGAGGCCAGGGGATTAAAAAGAAAGCATCAACTTTTACTGAAAAAATTTTAGGGGAAATAAATATGAATATAATATGGAATAGAATGCAAAATTTATTTTTTATTTTTTAATTTTTATTTATTTATTTATTTTTGAGACAAAGCCTCAAGCTGTTACCCTGGGTAGAGTGCTGTAGCATCACAGGTCACAGCAACCTCCAATTCCTGGGCTCAAGCAATTCTCCTGCCTCTACCTCCCAAGTAGATGGGCCTATAGGCGCCTGCCACAACACTTGGCCTTTTTTTTTTTTTTTGCAGTTTTTTTGGGCTGGTGCCAGATTTGAACCTGCCACCTCTGGTATATGGGGCCAGTGCCCCAATCCTTGAGCCACAGGCACTACCCTTGGCCATTTTTTTTGGTTGCAGCCATCATTGTTGTTTGGCGGCCCGGGCTGGATTGGAACCCACCAGCTCAGGTGTATGTGGCTGGCGCCTTAGCTGCTTGAGCCACAGGCGCCAAGCCTAGAATGCAAAATTTAGATAAACTTTTTTAATCTTATTTTTTGAGACAGAGTCTAGCTCTGTTGCTGGGTAGAGTGCAGTGCATCATAGCTCATAGGAACTTCAAACTCTTGGGCTGAAGTGATCCTCTTGTCTCAGCCTTCCAAGTAACTGGGACTACAGGAGCCCACCACAATGCCCAGCTACTTTTTTTCTATTTTTAGTAGAGATGGAGCCTTGTTCTTGCTCAGGCTGGTCTTGAACTCCTGAGCTCAAGGGATCCACCCCCATTTGCCTCCTAGAGTGCTAGGATTATAGATGTGAGCCACCACCCCTGGCTGAACTTTTTTTAAATGAAAAAATTCAATTGAGGCTCAGCGCCCATAGCACAGTGGTTATAGCACTGAGGGTGGCAGGTTCGTACCCAGCCTGGGCCAGCTAAACAATGACAACTGCAACAACAACAGAAAAATAGCCAGGTGTTGGGGCGGGTACCTGTAGTCCCAGCTACTTGGGAGGCTGAGGCAAGAGAATCCCTTAAGCCCAAGAGTTTGAGGTCGCTGTGAGCTGTGATGCCATGGCACTCTACCAAGGGCAACATAGCAAGACTCTGTCTCAAAAAAACAAAAAATTTCAACTGAAAAGAAATTTCTATACTGTGGCTGTTGCTGTAGGTCAAGCTAACAGATCTGTGGTTCAAGTTCATGGCCTAGAGGAAACTCTCCTCCTCCAGGTCTCAAGAGACAAACTTCATCTCCTACAGGCTCAGCAGGGACAGGAACCAGAGATGTTTGGTTTGTTTTCTATTTTTGTTTTGTTTTTGTGAGACAGAGTCCCAGGCTAGAGTGCCATGGCCTCAGCCTAGCCCACAGCAACCTCAAACTCCTGAGTTCACGTGATCCTTCTGCCTCAGCATCCTGAGCAGTTGGTACTACAGGCACCCACCACAATGCCCAGCTAAATTTTTCTATTTCTAGGGTCTCAAATGCTCAGGTTGGTCTTGAACTCCTGAGCTCAAATGATCCTCCCACCTAGCCTAGAGTGCTAGGATTACAGGCAAGAGCCACTGTACCTGGGCTGGCCAGATATTTGGCAAGGTGTAGACACAGTGTGTGACAGAAGGCAGAGGAAAAGTCAATTCTCTAAGGCCCTGGCCCTCTTTCTTTCCCATCTATCCCCATTAGAGATCAAAATGCAGAAGGTAGCAGTAGCAGTCTCCAAGCTCAAGTTCCTATGCAGTGAGCCTGGGTAAGAACTGTGTGTGAAGTTACTTACAAAGGGAAAGGCCTGGCTCGGCGCCTGTGGCTCAAGTGGCTAAGGTGCCAGCCACATACACCTAAGGTGGCGGGTTTGAATCCAGACTGGACCCACCAAACAACAATGACGGCTACAACCAAAAAATAGCCAGGCGTTGTGGCGGGCGCCTGTGGTCCCAGCTACTTGGGAGGCTGAGGCAGGAGACTCGCTTGAGCCCAGGAGTTGGAGGTTGCTGTGAGCTGTGAGGCCATGGCACTCTACCCAGGGGGGGACAGGTTGAAGCTCTGTCTCAAAAAAAAAAAAAAAAAAAAAAACAAAGGGAAAGGCCCATGGGTAATCTACTCCCTAACACTCAAGTCTCAATAGATACAGTGCCTATGGTTCCGTGACAGTTAATTTTATGTGTCAAATTGACTGCCCAGATACTTGGTTAAACATTATTCTGGGTATATGTGCAGGTGTTTCTGGATGAGAGTAATCTTTCTTCTTTTTTTTTTTTAGAGACTGAGTCTTACTTTATCACCCTGGGTAGAGTGCTGTGGTATCACAGCTCACAGCAACCTCCAACTCCTGGGCTAGGTGATTCTCTTGCCTCAGTCTCCCGAGTAG